CTGCAACAGTTTTTCAACCATCACATGTTCGTGCTGGAGCAGGAAGAGTACAAGAAAGAGGGCATTGAATGGACTTTCATAGACTTTGGTATGGATCTGCAGGCCTGTATTGACCTGATTGAAAAGGTAAAAGATTCAACTTTTACATGTTCAAACACAAACAAATAAAACAGGATCTTTTTTTTTTTTTTTAAACCATTCATATTTTCCTCCTCAGCCCATGGGTATCATGTCCATCCTTGAAGAGGAGTGCATGTTCCCCAAAGCCAGTGACTCCACCTTCAAAGCCAAGCTCTATGACAACCACCTGGGGAAATCCAACAACTTCCAGAAGCCCAGAGTTGTCAAAGGCAAACCAGAGGCCCATTTTGCTCTGGTTCACTACGCTGGAACTGTTGATTATAATATCAACAACTGGCTGGTGAAAAACAAGGATCCTCTGAATGAGACTGTTGTTGGACTATACCAGAAGTCTAACCTCAAGCTGCTGGCTTTCCTCTTTGCAAATTATGCTGGAGCTGATTCAGGTTTGTATTTAAAAGGGGAGGCAACATCCTAGTTTATAAGGTATGGTTATGTGGAAGAGGCAGAGCAAAGGAGGAACAGAAATAAAGATTTAAACTTAAAAAAATTGTTTTTTTAAACGTAACCTTATTTTGATGTTGTATTGTAAGCCACCTTTACTGTCTAAAAAATCAAAACATATCTTAAATGCATTTGTTTATTTAAAAGTTTATTGTTTTAATTTTACTCAGCTCAAGAATCTGGTGGAAAGGGAAAAGGTGGTACCAAGAAGAAAGGTTCATCCTTCCAAACTGTATCAGCTCTGCACAGGGTAAGATAAGATACATGGGCTCAGAAAGATGTTCTTCTCAGATTTAAGATGATTAATGTTTACACTTGCAGTGGTACTATAATTGAGAATGACTCCGCAGTGTACTTTTAGGAGAACCTGAACAAGCTGATGACCAATTTGAGGTCTACTCACCCTCACTTTGTGCGCTGCATCATCCCCAACGAGACCAAGACTCCTGGGGCCATGGAGAACCCTCTGGTGATGCACCAGCTGCGCTGTAACGGTGTGCTGGAAGGCATCAGGATCTGCAGAAAAGGCTTCCCCAACAGGATCCTGTATGGAGACTTCAAACAGAGGTTTGTGTCAGAATTACAAATTGTTGAAAAACAAACAAACAAAAGCATAAAATTAATTACATTCTTCTCCAATATCTGTTGATGAAAATGGACATTATTCAAACAAAAAATATTTCCTCATTTAGTCTTTGAATGGTGTTGTATTATATAAATACCATGTATTTTACAGTATAGTTACTTAGATGAGCATAAGTTGGTATTTTATCATTTTACATAACATAAAATAAAACTAAAATTATTTCTTGTCTTGAAGATACCGCATTTTAAACCCGAATGCTATACCTGAGGGACAGTTCATCGATAACAAAAAAGCTGCAGAGAAGCTTTTAGGCTCCTTGGATATTGACCATAACCAGTATAAACTGGGGCACACCAAGGTAAGCATGGGTGAAGAAAATCTGAGCTGTATATTCCTCCATAAAACTATTTCTATTGACTGCAATTCTTAACAACAGACATGTGTGGGATAATACTTTGTTTACCAACTCCTGCTCTCATCTGTTTGCAAAATCAGGTTTTCTTTAAAGCTGGGCTGCTTGGCTTGCTGGAGGAGATGAGAGATGATCGTTTGGCTTTAATCATCACCAGAATCCAAGCAAGATCTCGAGGTGTTCTGGCAAGAATTGAATTCCAGAAGATTGTAGAGCGCAGGTATGCGCAATAAATAAATAAATAAATAAATAAAATTAATAAAAAAATACTGCAATTTCAATTGATTCCAAAGCTAGAAACATGAGGATTAGAAATGGAATAAAAAAGGCAGCTCACTGAAGGTGACATGTTAGACAGTCTTTTATATCTCCCATTATTCCAGCAACCTGTTGGATATTAACGTGCCCTAAAAAGACATTAAAGGGGCGACCCAATATCTGAGTGGTAAGGGCACAAATCCCATGGGTACAAATCCCCTGAGCAGCGAGGACAGATATGCAGAAAAATTGTGACTGTAATTTTCTGTAACATTACAATATCTTCTTTTTTAATTCATGTCCATAGGGATGCACTACTTGTGATCCAGTGGAACATCCGTGCATTCATGGGGGTCAAGAATTGGCCCTGGATGAAGCTGTACTTCAAGATCAAACCTCTCCTGAAGTCAGCAGAGACTGAGAAGGAGATGGCCAACATGAAAGAAGAGTTTACCAAACTCAAAGAGGCTTTTGCAAAATCAGAAGCCCGCAAGAAGGAACTGGAGGAAAAAATGGTCACTCTTCTCCAAGAGAAGAACGACCTGCAGCTACAAGTTCAGGCTGTATGTTTACAAACACATCGATGAAAGATATCAAAATCAAACCAAGTCTGCCCAAGTGTAATGCTGTGCCTTTCTAATCACAGGAGCAAGATAATCTGTGTGATGCTGAAGAAAGATGTGAGGGGCTGATCAAGAGCAAGATTCAGTTGGAGGCAAAAATCAAAGAGCTGACAGAAAGACTGGAGGATGAGGAGGAGATGAATGCTGAACTGACGGCGAAGAAGAGGAAGCTGGAAGATGAGTGTTCTGAACTGAAGAAAGACATTGATGACTTAGAGTTAACTCTAGCGAAAGTGGAGAAAGAGAAGCATGCCACGGAGAACAAGGTACAATAAAATGTAACATTTCTTCATAGGCACTGTTTATTAAGGCTGTACTGATGTCTATGATTTCAATTGCAACAGGTGAAGAACTTGACTGAGGAGATGGCTGCTCAAGATGAAATCATTGCTAAGTTGACCAAGGAGAAGAAAGCCTTACAGGAGGCTCATCAGCAAACGCTGGATGACCTTCAGAGTGAAGAGGACAAAGTCAACACTCTGACCAAGGCCAAAGTCAAACTGGAGCAGCAAGTGGATGATGTAAGAATACAATAAATATGACTGTGATGGAATGTTGTGAAAATAATACTGTCAATCAACTGACTGAAAGGCTGTAATTGTCAACTATCACAGCTTGAAGGCTCATTGGAGCAAGAAAAGAAAGTACGTATGGACCTGGAGAGAGCAAAGCGCAAGCTTGAAGGAGACCTAAAGTTAGCTCAAGAGAGCGTCATGGATCTGGAAAATGACAAGCAGCAACTCGAAGAGAGGCTGAAAAAGTAAAATAACAATTTAACTTGAAAAAGCACAAACCCATTTTAAACTTTGCTTCAGCTGATACATTTGACTTTTTTATTTACAGGAAAGACTTTGAAATCAGTCAACTTAATGGCAAAATAGAAGATGAACAAGCCATGTGTGCCCAGCTTCAGAAAAAATTGAAGGAGCTGCAGGTAACCATTCAAACAGGACAAACTCAGCAGTGAAAAATACATTCTAAGACCACAATTTACAGCAATAGAATTTAATCAAGCTTTTTTTCTTTGATTTTGTTCTAGGCCCGCATTGAGGAACTGGAGGAAGAGCTGGAAGCAGAGCGAGCTGCTCGAGCCAAGGTGGAGAAGCAGAGAGCAGACTTGGCCAGAGAGCTGGAGGAGATCAGTGAGAGGCTGGAGGAGGCTGGAGGAGCAACAGCTGCCCAGATAGAGATGAACAAGAAGAGGGAGGCTGAGTTCCAGAAACTCCGCAGAGACCTCGAAGAGGCCACTCTGCAGCATGAAGCCACCGCTGCCACACTCAGGAAGAAACAGGCTGACAGCGTTGCTGACCTGGGAGAGCAGATTGACAACCTGCAGAGAGTCAAGCAGAAACTGGAGAAGGAGAAGAGTGAGCTCAGACTGGAACTGGATGATGTTGTCTCCAATATGGAACAGATTGTCAAGTCCAAGGTGAATCACCTTTCTGAATGATGTTTTTCTTCTTATTGGCTGATGAACAATTTACTTTCTTGTTTTACTGTGTGAGTTGGTCTCCCTGCATTTTCTTTCAGAACAATTTGGAGAAAATGTGCAGGTCTCTGGAAGACCAGATGAATGAGTATAGAACAAAGTCTGAGGAGGGACAGCGAACCATCAGTGACTTCTCCATGCAGAGAGCAAAGCTTCAAACTGAGAATGGTATGAATTTCAACAGCATATTTCTACTTGTGCTAATATGAAGCAGTACTTTAAATCTTCTGTTCAAATTAGGGGAACTAACAAGGCAGCTTGAGGAAAAGGATTCCCTGGTGTCTCAACTCACCAGAGGAAAACAGTCCTACACTCAGCAAATTGAGGATCTTAAAAGACAACTGGAGGAGGAAGTCAAGGTAGCAAACAAATGGCAGTGAGATCTCATTAAGAACATATTAAATGTTGG